CTTACAACTTCACATCGTTTTTATTCTTTTGTAGCATCAGTATTTTTTCGATGACCGATTTTTTCCGCAACGAACATGGTGCCTCGTATCTCGTACGAAAATAGGTAATTCTTAATTAAATTCTTTTTGTCTTCAGTAGTTACACAAAAAGATCATAACTATCAAAACAGATATCTTTGCTCCAAGCTCCACCACTACCTTTCAAAGTCTTCTAAAATTCTTTAAAAACTCCTGAAATCGGTAGAAGTCTTTCAAAGCTACACAAAATGTAAAAGATAAAATATTTAAGATTACGTTTAGAAGATTTTATCAAATACATAATTAGTACAATAGATTTAGGTTTAAACAACCTGTTCAATCATTGATCGATTAAATTTTGCATCTTTTCATGTGAATTTTTTTTAGATGCAATTGATAACACATGGGCGGACTGTCTGCTTCCTATCAATTCCATCAACAATGTTGTTTTTTCATTACTATGGTTTTGGTTGGTTTTTGTTTTTGTAGTTTCATTTTATGGTTTGGTGAAAACATTATGCGATATGCTTCCATCGAACATCCGAATGTTCATTGGCCATCATCTTCAAGCACAGGAACTGTACGTCATGGATGATGACGCTGTGATAACTAATTTTATTCAGAAATGTTCACCTGACGTACTATTAATTTTAAAATTGTATGAAGTGGAATTAGGTAAAAACATTGTTGGCGAAATTATCGGTCAACTTTTTTTAATGTACAAAAACAATAATGTTGAAACAGACGATTCCATTTTATTAGATTTACCTTCTTTATCTTCTTGATTGTTATTATGTATTTCTATCTGCTTACACTTTATGTTTTTATTATTTTTATTCATTCATTATGTAGTTTTGCTTTATGTGTATTCTTGTTTTTTCTATGTAATAAAAAAGAACATCATGAAAAAGCAATTTTAAAATATTAATTTCTAAAAAACTGTACAAAACGTAAAATTTTGTTTTAATCAGAAAATGTTACTAAGATAGCCATGTCCAAAGTGTATTTATATTCTCTTCCTCTATACTGAGGTTTTACAATTATAACGATAGTCATTGGTGAACAGATCACCCAATAGAAATACTTTTTTGGTCCGGCTACATCGTTCGGTTCGGCTAGCTTCACACTAGTATCTACGTCATAGGAATTACTTAATTGAATATAAAAAAAAGAAAGAAATAGCCTCGATTATTGCTATCTACTTGAATTGAAAGGTGTACATACAATGGTACGATATCTGTCGCTTACAAAGGTGTAAGTGTAGATGTTAAATGAAAAGAACATCCACACTCATCTTGTCTTTGACTTGTGCATTTCTTTGCATAGGTTCTCATTAATCAAACTAATGAGTATATATATGATATTATTGTTTTCGACATTTTTACTTTCGATCTTTAGCCACCTTACTAATATAATAAGGCATGAATAAATATATGGTGATGTATCCTGTTCACCAACTATTTTTGCAAAATAAAAGATACAACACTAGCACTATTTGACAACCACATGGATGTTGATTACAAACAAAATTTGGATAAGATAAAAGAGATCAAACAGTAGTTCGATACCGAATAAAATAAATAACAAATAATGTTATAAAAGTACTGATTATCAATAGACTACATTGAATACTAAGACTAATAATCATGCATCGACGTACAGAACTATTTCGAATTCTTTGTGTTGATTGTATTCGTTGTAACTGCATATTTATCTTTGTTATTGTTATTTTCGATATCACTTATGTTTTACTATGTAGTGTCACAACAAAATATCAATCTAACAGACAAGCTAATCTTAACCTTATAGAAGATTAACAATCGATGAATCATTATTTTTCGTTCTTTAAAATGATCTTAACATCATAGATGTTCTTGTTTTTATTAATAGAGTTAAGAAAAAATATATGAATAAAACTTTTATTTAGTCCTACGACATAACAATATCATCATCATCATTATTAGTTTTTTCTTTAGGTGGTATAGATTTTTTGTTTCCATTAATCGACGACTTCGGGGAAGTTGGAATTAAATGACCAATATTTTTAAAATAATGTTCTATTCCAGGAAACTCCTTGTGTGGTGAATCATTACAACAAGTATACATTTTATTATCATTCTTAGGTGATTCTTTAAGTACGGATGGTGTTTTAGGACTTTGTTCTTGGTTATTCTCAATAACATCTGATATTATATCATCTTTTGTAGGAGGGATGCCTAAAAAAAGTAATATTGCTATATTGAAAAAAAATTTTAATCAGTACTTGGTAGATTTGGAGGAGGTAGTTCATTTGTTACAGTGATGAATTCATCTTGGCTCTTAAGTTCATCTTGATTCTCAGAATAATCGTGATTCTTAAAAGAATCTAACTCAGGAACTTCAAATTTCATAAGATCAGATTGATACGTTTCTTTCCCATCTGAAAAAAAGAAGAATAAAAGTGAAAGAACATTTTACAAAAGAATTAGTGAACATACTAAGTAATTTTGCTACTAATTGAAAAGTATGATTTTCACCATTTTCAAAACCTTTAATACAAACGTGAAATTTATCCTCTATTTGTTTTTGGCGTATCTAAATAAATCTTAAACTTTCTTCTATTTTTTTTCTAGAATTAATAAAAATATACATATTGAATGTCTATACCATCTAAATACATAATATATTTATGAGCAATTCTATCCCCTAGATGGAACCATTCAATATTGAGATCTGCTTTAGCATTTTTATCAGCCTTCGACCGTGTGAAACTTATCGTTGGACTTAAAGCAAAAACATCATCATGAATAAAATGAAAATACTAAAAGATAAAATAAGCATTTGTTTAAAATCAATTTTATTTGAGAAAATAAAATATACACAGTTTTTTGATAATTTTGTTTCTTGTGCCCATTTTGTATTATTCGGTATGGCTTTGATATAAGCTGATGGATCCTTTGTATTTGTATTAAAACCTGATGCTGCTATAGAATCATAACTAACATGAAAGTCTATTTCAGTTCTTTTATTAACGACTAACTATTACAAAAAAAAAATAAAACATTTAAATACTAGAATAATTTATAATCACTTACAATAAATTTTTTAATAAGTCTACGAGATGATTCAGGTATAACTTTAACAATTCCATAAATTTTATTATCTGGAAACTTAAAAGCTTCGAGATGAAAATCAATTACAAGATCGTTCCATAATTTTTCATTTATCTAAAATAATTTCTTATTCGATACAAATGATACTAATTTTAACTTACTTGATCATTTTGTTTTTTATTTAATGAACTCCTTCATAAAACAAAAAATACCACATTCGAATTGATATATATACATCATACAACCGACAACCTACCGTGACTGATCAGGATCAGACATGTTTACTTATACTAATGAATATTTATTATAAGTATAAAATTTGATTACAACTATATTTTTACTTTTGTGTTTTGTCCTTGACAATTATGACGGAATAAAGCACACTCTTTTAAAAAAACACTAAAGAAGAGAGTTTTTTTCTTCATTATTTTAAATACTTTTTTTTATCAACTCATAATTTATTTTTCCTTTATACTTTTTTTCACGGAAAGAAAGAATATAGCAACAGGTTACTACACAAACCACAAATATATATATATATAACAAAACCATATAAAAAAGAAACAGAAATACTGTGATTTTCATATTGACGTTTTAACTAGTAATTATTCTTCATAATAAATACGACATTATTTCAAATGGTAATGAGTAAGAATTCACAACGTAAATTAGATCCTGTATAATTAAAATTCTTTCCGTTTAATTTCGAAAATTCAATGAAATTTGTTGTTTTATTTAGACGGACAATGAAAAATTCCCAGCGGATGTTTTGAACGAACTAAATATTTGTTATCGTGTTTGTTTCAAATTTGTCCAGAAAGAAATGTATTTTTTTTCATCTAGAAAACATTGAAAATTTTATTTTATTATTTTGATAATTGTTAGTGAAGACGATGATGATAAAGATGTTTGCGTATGTAATAAGCTACGAGAAAGTCATAAAGATCGAAGTTATCCTGAAAAAGAAGATGTTAAATGGACTATGGATCTAAATACTAAAGTAAAAACAGAGCCTGCTCATGGTATACTGCCAAATGGTGCATTGGTATGATTAAAAGTTTTATATTTTTTCTTTATTAAATTAATTATCATTTATATATATAGTATTTACGACTTGCCATGGATACACCGAAAGAAAAAGTTGCAAGACTTCTTTTTGACGTATGGAGAATCCGAAAACCTCGATTAATTATGTCAATTATTGGAGGTGCAAAATATTTTACACTAAGTGATCGACTTGAATCCAATTTTATTAATGGTATTACTGAAGTTGCACTCAAGTCCGGTAAAACCCAATACAAATTTTAATTTTCTTTATTTCTTTTTCTTTGAACATAGATGCATGGTTAATCACAAATGGTTATAATGCTGGTATTGTTCATCTTGTTGGACAAGCAATTAATAAAGTTAAATTTACAAAATTAAACAAACATATTACAGCTATTGGACTTTGTAAATGGGGAAGTATAAAAGATGTAGAAACACTTACAAAGCTAGATAAGGTAAATAATCAGGTTTGATTGACGTTGAAAAATAATTCATAAATTTGAAAATTTAATTTTTATTAAGAAAGAATCGGAGAAATCTGATAAAATGCGTGATGGCGGTATAGAAAAAAAACGTGAAAGTGGTCAACGTGATCTAGAAATGAATCATACTCATTATTTGATGTTAGATGATGGAAGATTTAGATTCTATGATACAGAAGATTACCGAACAAAATTATGTCTTCAATTAGCAAAACTACAACACGAAACTGATCTTCCTCGTAAGTTTTAGTAGTCTATGAATACTTTGCTTTTATTGAATAACGATGTAATTATATAACAATACATAAATTTAACCTAACGGTTAACGGAGAAAAATTTCACTAAGAGGTTAATGTAAGATATACGCTACTATTTTCTTCTGAAAAATGAATGCTTTCAAAGATTTTTTAAACACACGTCTATCAAAAACTAATGGAGTATACGACATCACTTGATAGAGCATTTAGCAAATTGAAAAACGTTATTTTTATAGTAGTTTAATGTAAAATTATACTAACTGGTATATATAGTTGTCGTACTTAACTCTTTCCGGCTGGATGTTGGTAAATGGCAACATTTCATCTTAGGGGAGTGCGGTATTTTTTCGAATAGACAACGGGAAATGGTTAATTGATGAAATTTACAAATCATCATATTAATCTCGTTTTTTTATGTAGACAAGTGTAGAAATAGATAATTATAAAATAACTGGAGATAAATTAGAATTGACATTGAAAACTTCCAAAGCACTGAGAGTTTAACACTAATATCTTAGTTCATAAGATTTAATATTAATAGTCATGAGAGATAAAACTTTTTAATACAATTTACTCTATAATGAATGTTATACTAACGAAACATATTCGATCATAACAAAATGAGACAGTCAGTAATTACTGGAGTAGGTATTCATTTTATGAAATAGTATGGAAAACTTACTCATATTACTGTGATTCTGCGTGTAAAAGACAAGTTTTCGAGTTAGGAATATAAACGCTCGATTTTATCAAAGAATTTTAGGTCTTCCCACGATGATAACACTAAAATGAAATATTTACGACTTCGAAATCTTCATATTTTTGACTGAAACAATATTCTTAAAAAGTTGTCTGTTATTATTGGCTTTTAATGTTGAGCTAAAATCTTGTAAGAAATAAATATTGTACATTTGAAGCGTACTCTTAATACCTCTCATTAAGCTGTTTTCTATCTGAAACTGATTGCTATTCTCACGAATATGTTATTCGTTTTTTCTGTAATTCATTATGATTTTTAAAGCACTTCGTAGATAATCTTCATAGTAATCATATATTACTTAAATCATACTCTGCTTTTGCTCTTAATTACAATTTGAATTTAATTCGACGCACTCTAGTGCTTGGAAGTTAATTAAAATTTATAACAATAGTAGATATTGTTTACACTAATATTCAATTCTTCACAATTTTGTCTCTATTTATAGTTCCTGTTGTTACTATTGTGGTTGAAGGTGATAAAGATACCATTACAAATATGTATTATGATTTACGTGATAATATCCCTGTTATTATCATTGATGTAAGTAAAAGAAGCAAAAGTCTATTGTACAATTGTAATCTAATCTAAATAGGGTAGCGGCGGTGTTGCTGACTTTTTCAAACGTTGGTTATTATATACAAAAGACGTCGATAAAGCTAGTAAAGATTCTGAATTTTTACATGGAATTAATGAATTTCTTGAAATTGGCCAAGTAACTACCTGTACACCTTTGCAACCGAAAAATGACCATGATTCTCGTACATGTTTAAATGTCCAACTGAAAAGACATCCTACGAAGTAAATAAACAAATAAACGTTCACTTCATTTTCTAGAATTATTTGTATAATTTTTTTAAAAGACTTCAAGAATTATTTGAAAAATATCATAAACGACTCAAAGAAGATCTTAAGCTTGTTATATCAAATGACGATGATCTTAGTAAAGGAAAGAAGTCCAGTTATGCACCAGATGATAATCCAAGCAGTACAAACTCAATTCAATTAGATGAAACGCTTCGACAAGTTATGTATTGTCTTCAGCCTGCTGTTCGTTCTGGTATAGCTGTATTTGATTTGAATTCAGATGATAATTTATCTGAAACTATTTTTCGTACTGTTTGTAAATGTAAGTTAATTATATGATATAAGATTTTCTTTTTGTTAATTTGATTTGCTGTAGCACGTCAAAAATATTTTGAAAGAAAAGAAAGGGATGAAAATGACACAATGGAAAGGTCTCTACGAAAATCTAAACCACAACCAACTGCAGATGTTAAACAACATCATGTAGATTCACGTCGTCATGTTAATAGAAGAGATCAAAATGCACAACGATCGCAATTATTAAAATTAGCAATGAATTGGGATTGTATTGATATTGCAAAAGAATTAATTCTTCAAAATTCGTTAGATAATATTCTAGTAAGAGTGATTGATTTTTAAAGGATAGATAGATAAACTAATTTGTTAGTAACATAACTTCGTAAAATTAAAATATATATATTAAGATAGTAAAATATTTCTAGAATTAATTCTTCTATGTTATATGTATGTTAAATTACTTTGGATACTATAGAAAAGCTGACGGTGGTGACATAACTCTAAGAATAACTTTGATTTTTACTTTATGTGATTTAGTTTAAAATAAGGAGAAAAGCGCAGAATCCTGAATTCTCATAAATTCCAGAGGTTCTCTATGATTTTTTGGAAGTGATCAGTATTCGTCCGAAGTCTATAAAGACTATTTTATATTTTCTAGAACTACTCGAGAGTTTCAATCAACTTCTGAAGTTATCGAAAAACATCAACTGTGTCACAACAGGTTTTCCGTTGGCACCTCTTTGTCCTTTTTTCTGTTATACTCAACTATGGGTACTGCTACATATGTATATCAATGAGTGATTTTTCGCGTTTGTTGATTTGTAATTCGTACGATTGCATTACTCTCTACTAGAAGTGTTAAGATCGCGCTAATCTTCTCCTTTATCCATCAGTACATTTAGATAAGCTTATCTTATTAGAAATTTAAGTACATTATTGTATCACAGCGATTCTTTTGTTAATGAATAAACCTTGATATTTTTTATATTAACAATCTTGAGGGCGTGAGTCTGAGTGTGGATCTTATTCAGTCTCTACACCCACTCTCAAGATATATCCTATTTTTCTATAAACTTAATAAGTATAAAAGTGAGACAATTGTACGATAAAGTAGGATTCAACGATATTTTGACTTATAAATACATGCTACTGTTATTAGAAAATAAGTTATAAAAAATGTGCACATTGAAACGACGATTTATTTTCTTTTCTTATCCATATAGCTAAATTTTGCTCATAAGATCTTTTGTACTCTTATTCTCAATCATTTACTTAACTTTTTTTGTGTTTGACTAATATTGTATCGAAAATGTCCTTCCTTTTGTTTAGAACAAAGAAGAAGCTTTTGTGATCGCTTTAAAACGGAATTTACCACAATTTGTTTATGAATTTATCAAACTGAGTATTGATCCAAGTAAAATATTCTTTGAAAATGATGCATTCTCTATGTCAAAAAATCGATATAAAAATTTTTTTCAACGTTTGTACAGCAATAAAGCTGTGGTAATATATATTCACAAATTAAAAAAGATATTAATGCGTTATATATTTATAGAATAGTGATAATACTCAATTAAGTGCATTTATTGAATCGGACAATGCCATTGGAAAACATATTGGTATAACTGATGAGCTAAATGAAGTTCTTACTACACTGATTGGTGATTATATGCATAAATTATACTTTGATTCAAATGCCGACGAGATTAAATATCGAGCATCATGGGGTTTAATACCTCAAAATGTCGAACACAATCAAACAAATCCTACAAATTCTGACCACCACGATAAACCAAGTAAAGAAATAGTTTTTGACACTATTATGCGAGATTTATTTATATGGGCAATACTTATGAATCATACCGAAATGGCTCAAGTCTTTTTAAGTCACATGAAATATCGAATATGTGCTGCACTGATTGCAACAAAAATATTAAAACAATATTTTCAGAAAGCGCCATATGGTGACTTAAAAGATAGTTATGAGAAAAATGCAAAATATTTTGAAGAATATGCTATTGCATGTATCAAACAATGCGAAAAAAATGATACTGATCTAGCATGTGAAATTGTTCTGCAACGAATAGAACTATATGGAAATGTGACTTGTCTTCAAGTATGTTAAATGGTTTTGTTTGTCTCTGAAAAAAAATGATTTTTCTTGAAATTTATATATTTCAGGTTGCTGCTGATGCCCAAGATAAATTATTTATTGCAACACCATGTTGTGTTCAAGCTATGAATAATATATGGTATAATAATATTTACCCTGAACAATCAAAGAAACGAAATGAATTAGCTATGGCTATTGGAGTTTTTACACTTGGTCTTCTGGCACCATTTTGTGTCACTTTTCGAGATCCTCCAACGGTTAGAATTTCTTATTGTTTCAATCTTTACACTATTAAATAGATATAAAATGAAATTTTAGCTACAACTCTAGGATATAGTAGATGATGTTTTATAAGGCTTCACTGAAAGTATAATCATGGGAATATCAGAAATGACGATCTATATTAGTTTAAATCGATTTCATTTATCTTTTTAGTTATTCGGAATTATTAATGTTACATTATTTTCACTGAGATGAGAAGTACAACCAGAAATGGTTCTACGTAATTATAGCTTTCCTCTAAAATAGATTCGTATTCTATATAGTAACTGAATATAAATCATATGTATACAGTCTCTAGTCTCTTTTGTTATTTTACAGATTGAAATACTTGACAAATATGTTGTTTGTATATAAATCTCATGGCAGATAGCTATTCTAACATGCACAGGAAAGTTCATTCATGAAGATTAGCACAAAGATATGAACAAATCAGTTTCATATCACATATCGAATAACAGACTGTCACTCTTTAGTTCATGAGTGTGTGAAAGATTTCAGATTAGAGAAAAACAATGTAAGACAGTATTTACGAAAAAGTCTTGCACGAATAAAAAGGAAATTTACTCGTTCTGAGCAAAATAAAAAGTTTATCACCGACTATCATCAGTGGTATTAACACAATTTTTAACAAAAACGCAAGCTCCTACTTTCGACAGATATTCATCATATTTTTGACTTGAATTCTAAGAAATATGAACGAATACAAAAATATTATTACTATCTATTAATTAACAAGATTTTATTTTCATTTTAATAAGGAAGTAATCAACGAAAAACCTGAAAAATCGTACGTATTCTGAACTAAAAATTCCAGTATAAAAATAGTATACTATATTTAGTTTTCAACCTTATGGCATACATTATTCCGATCCTTATGCAACACCATTTCGGCGATATACTAAATATTTTGCAATAAATAATTATGTGCATCATATAAAAAATTTTCATCGAGCTTTACGCATGAAATATTGTTACCATTGTGTATGTATATATATGTATATATTATCATTTGTAATAAAATCTATATAATTTCTTTTTAGCTAATTTATTGTTTTTTTCTACTACTTTTCTCTTATGTACTTTTATTTGATTTTCAACCACCAACTTCTTCAGTACCATGTATCCATTGGACTGAAATCTTGACAATTATACTTGTTTCAATTATGTTAATTGAAGAAATTCATTATGTAAGATAATAAAATCTATACAAAATAATATTTAACATTTTCTTTTTTTCGTTTTATAGTTTGTTAGCCAAGATAGTATAACAGTATCTGGGAAAATTGAAAGCTATTTTAGGGATTTATTTAAAATTATGACTCTGATTGGATTTATACTTTTTTATACTGGATTAATTCTACGCTTTACTCATGCAGATAATGAGAATGAATTTGTCGCAGCTAGGTAAGATGATTTTTCTGATAAATCGAATATTATTTATCAAAAGAAAATATACGTCAAACGTTTTGCCGTAAATGGATTGTTTTTTTGAGAACATAACGATGGCAGAATATTTATTCTGTACTACTAATCAAAAGGATAAACAATAGAAGAGAGTTTATATATTGATCGTTGTGCTGTTTTAACGGATCTTTTATCTTTTTGACTATTGCATAATATTTGTTGTTATCTAGAATATATGATGTTTACTTTGAGTATCCAAGTGACAGACAATAATAAGCTCTGTATTGTTTGATAATAATATTAGATCAGAATCATTGTAATCGAAACTTCAGAGATAAGCAGATGACAAAGCATTTAATGATCTTCACAAACTCTTCTTTTCTGTTTGTCTGTGAACGAAGGAAGTAGTTAACTGTTTTCAGACTCACAGCAAGTCTGTCAAAGCTAACAAAAAAGAAGTAGATGAATGCTGATACTGATATCACATTCAATTTATTCTAAACTTATGAGTTTCTTTTTCAATAATTTATCTGTATAAAAAATAAACTTTATAACATATACTTTTGATTTATATATATTCTTTTTATTTAATTGTATTTATTCAGGGTAGTATGGGCTATTGATGTTGAACTGTGGTGGCTTCGTTCTTTAGCATTTATTATTGTTATACCATCTCTTGGACCTCATTTGGTGGCTATTGGAAAGATGGTATACATATATTTTTCTTTTTTAACATAAATAAAATCATTTTATTTTCTTTAGCTCAAAGATCTTTTGTTCTTTATTTGCATAATTGCTATTGTTATGACTGGTTATGGTGTTGCATCTCGTTCAATGGTTTATTATTCAAATCCAACTTTATTCAATGATACTACTACAGACACATCATTTGATGGTAGAAGTATTTTTCGTCAAATTATATATCCAGTATATTACTTATTGTATGGACAAATGGGCAATGAACTCGCTGATCTCGACAGTAAGTGAATCGTATGTGTATATTTGTGTTGCATATAAGATGTTTTGTATAAAAATGAGTTCAAATTTATAAAGAGTTGCATTTAATTGAACTTAATGAATGTTATCATTTGAAAAGAAAACATATCTTCAAAATTGTAATGTATAAAATATTCTCAAATTTCGAATAACTCATTATAACAAAACAAAAATCAAGAGCTTATGCACTCAAAATCTTAAATATCGTTTCTTCGAAACTATATAAATTAGTAAGATAAAAAAAATATTCGAAATAACTTAAACTGATCGCTTGTTTCAATCGCTCGCTAATCAATTGTTTTCATTTGAGATTTTTGAATATATAATATCTTTTTCATATAGCCTATCCTGATGCTGCATGGTCAATTGCTACACAAGTATTACTTGCTATTCAGATGCTCTTTGTGAACATATTACTTACTAATCTTCTCATTGCCATGTTTAGGTGAGTATTTTGTCTAATAAAAATATTTTTGTATCAATCTATTAATATTTTTAAGTAAGCGATTTGATCAAGTTTATGATGATACAAAAAATATTTGGCATTCTCAACAATATTTATTTACAAGAGAATATTATACACGTTCACCATTTTTACCACCTATAAGTCTTGGGTATGATATTTATCATTTATGCCGTATAGTATTTTTTGCTATAAGACAAATGTGTTTTAAAAAATCAGCTGATGGCAAAGCAAAAGTATTTAGTAAGTTGAAAACAATGAATTCTATTTTTCAAAATATTTCTTTTTATTTTAAAGAAATGATTCCAATTAATAATAATCGTATGAAAGAATGGTATGAATTTGAAGGTGCATCGACATATGAATATGCACATGCACAAGTAAAATCATTGAAACCATCATCGGCAGTGTAAGTTAAAGAAAGACAAGAAGCTAAGAAAATATCTGATGAAAGTTTTAATTTCTATAGATTACCAAGTGGATCAGATTCTGCTAGTAATGAAAATAAAGATGATACAAATGATAATGCAAATGATTCAAACAATTCAAATGGTGATATTCGACTTACAAAAGATGATTTAGAAAAAATAAATCGATCAATAAATGACTTGAAAAAAGAAATGCAAACAAAAGTAAAAGAATCAACTGATGAATTGAAAACACAAATGCAAATATTAATTAATAAAATATGTCCCGAAACAAACACAGAGTGAATTATTATACAAAATTTCAATCATTTAGAAGTTTTGACATTTATATTTCGAAATCTCATTTTATAATACTAAAAATAAAATTTATCTTATCCCAGAATTTCCTATTTATGAGTCATATTACTAACACATAGGTGAGAAGTCATTGTTTCTTTCCTGAGTTTCAAATCATTAAAAACCAATGCATTATTTTTTTTGAATATTTTAATTTTATCGTATATGCAAATGATTTTTACAATTTCTTACTGTATTATTTGTCGTAGTTAAACAAAATTGGAATTATTTCTTTATTGTTGTAGTGTATATTATTGAAATATTCTTCTCTCTGCAACGGCAAATAATAGGATCAGTTCATTTTCTCTCATTTATTTAAATATTTATTACTCATATTTTTACTCTGCGAAATACCGATTTCGAGCGTTCTCTAATATAATATGTTGTACAATTTATGAGCTGATTGGACAAAACTAGTTGAAGAAATACACAAATAAGAATACACGATTACAAATGAAATATCTTATATCTACGTCATAGGAATTTATTCAATGAATATAAGAAAAAGAAAGAAATAGGTTAGATTATTGCTATCTGATTGATTGTAAAGGTGTACATATAATGGTACGATATCTATCGATTGCAAATACATTTGTAATACTAGTTGCATCAAATATTATAAAAGGTTTTACATTTGAAGAGAATACATGTGCGAAAGATTCACGTCCTGTTCATCGAGAATATTTTTATGTTGGTGGTGAATATGTATATGATGCGTCCTCTCAAGGATTTGTAATGACTGGACAAATGTATGTTGAACATTTAACTTCTCCATATGGCATTCAACAACCATATCCTTTAGTTTTAATGCATGGAAATGCAATGACTGGTACGAATTGGCTTAATACTCCTGATGGTAGACCAGGTTGGGCTTCATATTTTCTTCAACAAGGATATGACATTTATATTATCGATCAACCAGCACGTGGCCGATCTATATGGCTACCTAATAGTAATATGACTGTTACAACTTATTCTGCCAATATGATGGAAGAACGCTTTACAGCTACAAGTTTCTATGAATTGTGGCCGCAGGCAATTTTACACACACAATGGCCTGGTGATAACAATACTTCTAAAGGCCGTATGGGCGATCAAATATTTGATGCTTTTTATGCTTCAACTGTTCAATTTGTTGCAAGTGAAGTCTCGGTTCAAACTATGATGCAAAAGGCTGGTGCAGCATTACTAGATAAAATTGGTGCTGCTATACTATTAACTCATTCACAAAGTGGAAGTTTTGGATGGTTAATTGCTGATATACGACCGAATCTCGTTAAAGCCATAGTTTCTATCGAACCGAAAGGACCTCCATTTCGAGAAGCTGTTTTTTCAAATAAATCATCTCGATCTTGGGGCATTACAGATATTCCAATAACATATGATCCTATTGCTAATTCATCATCGGATCTATTGACCGTTGAAATACCATCAATACATGAAAACTATACATCTTGTATTCTTCAAAAAACACCTGCTCGTACATTAATTAATCTTGTTAATATTTCCGTTTTAATAGAAACATCTCAAGCATCTTATCATGCTGTTTATGATCATTGCACCGTTGAGTTCTTACGACAAGCAGGTGTTAAAGTAGATTTCATTCGACTTGAAAATATAGAAATTTATGGAAATGGTCATATACAAATGATGGAAAAAAATAATTTACATATTGCTGATATTCTTCATCAATGGATTCGAAAGACTGTGCTTATTTGAATGATTTTAAAAATTTTATATGAATTATTAGATATAGATCAACAAAATTTCTAAAAATCAAATCAATTTATTTGAATTAAAAATAAAACTAAAAATGTTTGTCTAATCTGAATTTAAATGAGATTCTTCTTTTTTTTTTGTTTTGTTTTCATACAGACATTTTATTTGGGTTGAAAAACTATAAGAGCAAAAAGAAGAAAAAAAATATAAATAAGACAAATCAACGGGATACATTAATGTTTGCCTCCAGCACTGATTTTTTTCGCATCACCATGTCCATGTCCACCTTCAGTGACTGCCTTGTTTGGTCGTGGAGGAGCGCCAATTGGATCGAGTGCTTCATCTGGCATAACCCATTCATGTTTATGTGGTAATAATTCACCACCTTGTTCAACCCACCAACGTAATGAATCTCGTTTTTCATATGGTAAAAATTGTATATCTTTCAATTTATCATGTTCATCTTTATCCCAAACACGAGGAAAAACAGCTTCTGGCATATAAAAGGAAGCTAAATAACGGAACATTTATATATATATTTATTTGATATTCCCTCTTAAATTTAGCATACCTAATTCATAAGTGACTTCATCCGCTGGAGGTACATTATCCCAACGATCAAATTCTTTTCGTAATTTTTCTACTTCACCTTCAGCTAATTGAACAAATTCTTGTGCACGTTTTTCCTATAGACATCATATAAATATAAATAAAATTAAAAGATTAACTCGAATTACCTCACTCTTTGCATATTCTTCAAGTTCTTTCATTCGATTAGCCGAATCTTTTGGATATGCAATTTGGGCATTTTCATACTACAGGAAAAATATCATAAAAGTTATAATAATAATAGGAAAATTTATTATCATTACTTCTTTTTGAAGTTTATCAACAAGTGTTGGATCTGCTACCATTTTTCGATAATTACTAAAATCAATTTTAGGTAATGCATCTGATAAAGCATTCATTCTAAAACACAAAATAAATAATATTCAATACAAAAATTTATAAATTATTCAACTTACTTAACAGCTGATTGACTCCATTTAGCTTGAAGATTTGATGCAGTTGTTGTATTTGAACCACTTAATTTCATGAGACGATTCCAATCAACTTTACTTGATGTAAAACGTGATGCGGCAGCTGCCGCCGATCGGCCTGCTTGTTGTGCCATAAAAAAATTTCAATCTGAAAATAATATGAAGAGAATTCATCATGGTTTTAAAGGAATGATCAAAATTGATTAAACTAAATCTTTTTTTCTATGTATATATTTTTTTTTGTAAAACGAACAATCATAATACTAAAGTTGCTTGATTAGAAAATAAATAAATCGTGTCAAATGTCTTTAGAAGAAACAAATAATAATAATAACGACAACAACAGTATAGAAAATTTTTCATTTATACAAATCCAATTGAATTCTTCCATTTAAACATCACATGCCATAATAAGAAGAAGGAGACAAACAGATTGAGTCATGCTAGAAAAGAAAAAATATATATAGTCGAATTAAATTTTAGTTTCAAATTTTACTTGAGATAAAATGTTTATTTTGATTTTGTCTAAATGAGAAATATTCTATAGCTATTGTCGTCGTTCGAGAATAATATAAAGTAAAGATGATAATGACACGATTGATAGGTTTTATTTTGTTTGATTATTTGCTAGAATGAAAAGAAATAAATAAATTATCAAATCAATTATAGTTATATTTACATTTTGCGTGGTGGTTTGGTGACAACTTCACCAGCTTCTTCTAAAAATACTGGATCATTGCCAAGACGTGATTGTTCACCAGAGACGCCTTTTGTTTGTGGTAAAGCATCTCGTACTGATTTAGCAGCATCTTTAGCCTAAACAATACAAAATTTGTTTACTTCTTATTTTTAAAAAAAAATATTACCTTATCAGCAGCATGACTAGCAGTATCTCGTACTGAGTGTGCAGCATCTTTAACCTAAAAAATAAAAAAATTGTTTATTTTTTTTTAAAAACAAAAGAAATATTACTTGATCAGCGGCATGAATAACAGCGCCTTTAACTTTTTTATATTCAGGTAATTTGTCATAAGCATCATTAATAGCATCTTTAGCTTTTTCACCAGCTTTTTGAATTTGTTTTTGGTCTGGTAATTTATTGTAAGCGGCATTAGCAGCATCTTTAACTTGTTCACCAGCTTTTTTAATTTGATCTTTGTCTGGTAATTTATCAGTTATACCGGAAATATCAGGCATTTTTTCTGATATAATGTCTGTTAATCTTTTATGTCGACCAAATACTGGATCAATAATTTTGTCGAGACCACTTAAAACTGTTGAACTAAGTGGAATCATTGATTCAACTTTACGACGAAATGTATTATTGTCATATTCAGCGTATAAAAGTGTAACACCAAGACCAAGTGCAAGACCATAAGCAATAGCTTTGCCTGTTCCACCACTGCCACCACTTGAAGGATATGATGCTGATGATGATGACGATGATGATGAAGGTGGTTTTGTTGATGGGGGAGGGGTTGTTGGTTTTTGTGGATTACTTGATCGGTCAGCTGGTGCACTTTGTGTTTTAGGAGCCGATGAAGCACTACTGCTTGTAGATTGTGTTGCACTTGGACCAGATGCTGGTTTACTAGAACCTGATGAAGCCGATGATTGTTGAAATCGCTTAGTAACAAGTAATAAATTTCGTGCTGCTGGTTGAGCACGAGTTGCAAATACTGTACGAAGCATTTGAGTAGAACTCTTCTTTTTTTAAATGAAGTAAAAAGATCTAGAATAAATTTTAACAATTGGTACAAGAAACAATAATATTGGATTTATTTTTTATTTCTCGTATTTAGTTAGCCATCTTGCGGTATAAGAGCCATTGAGACTTCTTAAATATAAAATTTTACTCGAGACATTCGATATTAATTTTAAAACTTAATCTCATAAAGTTTTTTTATTATAAAATAAAAATTAGAACCATTTCCAACTAGAAAAACAAACATTTAAGTATTATTCATGATAGATGTCGCACACGTTCATGAAAAAAAGAGGGCGGTTTAGCGAAAGGTTTTTGGACAAAATATTTTAAATGCGTGAGGAACCAAGGATTATAATCAGAACTTCGTATTCTTTCTAAATATGAGCTCTTAAAATATGTACTTCTTCTTTGCTTGAGAATAGTATGAGAAGACTTTTGAACGGCCTAAAAGATAGTTTGAACAGGATTCTTTGTATACATTCGTATTCTACTAGTGGCATACAACACTTTTCTTTATATATGAGCCTATAGAGAAAAATTTGTTTTACAAAATTATCTAATTGAACCCCATTTTTAGTACCTTGCTGTTCAAAGATCTTCTCAGTATTTTCGATCAAAAACAAGTACACAATTTGTAAGCCCTTATTTAGAAAGAGCATCAAACTCTAATCGTAACCCTTAATTTTTCATATCTCTTCCATCTATTGATGATAATAAAAAGATTTCGGAATCTTTCTACATTTATTAGTCAATATGGTAAAATTAAAAATTGGCTATTGACCTTTTCTAAGCTTTATTTTACTTAACATTGAAAGGTTTTGATCTTATCAATTTGTCTGATAATATTAATTAATAACAATCTTAAAAGATTTCAATAAGAATCTATTTGACTTTTGTATTTACATTTAACTAGAAATCAAAATTTGTCTTAGACAAAGGTTATAAACACACTATCTTATAAATTAAATTTCATAGACCAAACAAGATTGTTGTGTTATTTTCATCCAAAATCATTACATAAATGTAAGAAAAGAAGAAACTTAAACAAAAATATTTTACAATGAATGGTCAATCATCATCAAATTCAAAACATAATCAAACAAATGAGGTTGATACACCAACAACAATGCCTCATTATGATTTTGTTCTACCATCATATAATAGAGATCGACGTTTATCATCAACAATTTCAACAGTCATACCCGACGCTACATTTAATACTGTTTCAGGTGATGTTAGTTTTTCAAGTGCCGAACAAATTCCATCATCATCCGAAATAGAAAACAATACTAAAGGTTAGAAAAGATTTTACCAGAAAATACATATTTCTATTTGTCTATCTACTAGAAAATGAAACTCGTTATACATTGGAACAAATGGTTTCATATCGACATGGACGACATGTTGATGATAAAGTATTATCACGTAAAGTTAGGTAAAAAACAAACTATCATACTATGTTTTTTTTAAAATCTCCTGTAATAATTCAGACGATTCTATGCTAAACAAGATCAAATCATTGATCAATTATCAACAATGCATGAACGACATACATGCAGTACAGCACATGATGAACGTCTTGAACGACATAAACGATGGGCACTTATTCTAATTAAAACCACACTTGTTTCTAATATTGTAAGAAATTATTTCGTCATATTCAGTTATGATGATTATTTTTCTCAATAGATTTTGGTCATAGGAAAAGTTTTTTCTGCTATTGTATCGAAATCTTTATCAATTGCATCATCTGCTATTGAAAGTACAATTGATCTAATGTTAAATTTTGCTATCTGGTGGGCGAATAGAGCAATAAGAAAGAAAAATCCACATCTTTATCCACAAGGTCAAATTTTGAAAAACTATGAAATTTTCCTTCATTTTTATTTTTTCGTTTAAAATAGGACGAACTCGACTCGAACCAATTATTATTATTATACTTAGTATTGTTATGTGTGCTGCAAGTTTTCAAGTGATTTTCGAAGGAGTTCGTTCAGTAATTGAAGATGTTAATTATTTTCGTAATGTTAGTGGTTATGCATATGAAAAACCACCAGTTGATATTAATCCTGCTGCAATTTCAGTTATGGTTGCAACAATTGGTAAAGAAAAACATTTTGTCTTCTATTTCAAATTGATTTCTTCTCTTTCTTAACAAGTCATAAAAGTTGTATTATCGATATTATGTTATCAAATTCCAACTCCAACAATGTCAGCACTTGCAGCTGATCATCGAAATGATGTTGTTGCAA